GTGTGTGTGTGTGTGTGTGTGTGTGTGTGTGTGTGTGCATTCATGACTTCTGGCTTTTAGTAGTCAACTACTCCCAAAAATTTGTCGAATAGTTAACAAATTCGATTGATTAATCTCAGGAGAGATTTCGTATTTGTTTCACCCAATAACAATAATAACTCCTCGTCAAAAATATTTTAAATATAACCAGTAAAAGGTTAAGTAACGTCGGGGGTAGGTGAAATAGCAGAGTCCTTGATTGGGTCCGTGAGGCTGTTAACAAATATGCTGCGATCTGATTGGACTAAACCCCCATCAGGCTTGTTGGAGCTGGAGATGCTCAACGGCTTTCTTGCAGTAACAGCGTGCGGCTGCCACTGCTGTATCACTGCACCGGGATAAAACCACAGATGAAGCAATGGTGTGTGTGTGTGAGGATCGTACACATGGTCTGCTGTAGTTTGTGGTAGCACAGCAAACATGCAAAGATTGGGCGTGTGTATTTTTTTATTTTTTCTCTTTATAGTATAGTCTCTTTAAGAGCGTCCTGACCAAAATGGCAGCATAATTATTTTACTTGAACCAACACAACCAGAATTCACAGAAGGAATAAGAGAAAGGAAGAGAGGAGAACAGAAAAGTAATTTAAACCCATTATAACTGCTCTATACTAAAATACTCAAAAAATTAAACAATTGGCTATTTTAATCCCTAAAACTTATTTGTGTTTAAAAATGTGCGAAGTAGCTTTTATTCTAAGCAGTATGTACAGTATGTTAAGTTTTCATTAAGACCTCTTGAAGAGTTCAGGTGTGGACTACAGGCACAAAGGGAATGTGAGAGAGGGGTTGAAGATGTGACGGAATAATTAGTAAAACTTAAAGTTTGGGAGAAGAGAGGCGAGCAGGGAAGTAGATAAACTTGGCTGAGGCCTGAGTCAACAGATGATGCTAAGGGTGACAGCTAATTCAATTAATGGAGATCAGGCATGACGTATGTTTGCTGCTCGTTGTCCATATGCTCTCAAGTGTGTGCGCAGAGGAACTACAGTTAGCTCAATGTTGATTTTCTTCCTCACAAGTGTGTGTATATGTGTGTGTAATAGTGTGAGACAAGCATTAGGTCAGTGTGCCTACTATTTACGCCAGCTATTACTAATGCAGTATTGTCCTCCATATATGGGAGGTTGTGTGGAAATAAAGAGCATGAGAGGATGGAAATAGGAACAAAACAAAGAGGCAGAGGAAGACTCGGGCAAGTAGAATATGTAGTACAACTAATAGTGACTAATGCAGTGGTCACAGCATCCACATGATATACATCGAACACATTTAAAATACTGGAGCATGATCAGGACACGGATAGAGGACAGTGTTTCTTTTGCAGAGTCATTTTACACTTCTAGTATTAAATTAGAAGAATTCCTGTTTTGCTGACAGACGTAAAGCTCATTCAATAATTGAACAACAAGGGGGAGGAGTTGATGTAGACTTATAATTTTCATGAATGATTAATCTGTTGATGTTTTTCATTATTAATTTAATTAGTAAAATGTCAAACTATAGTAGAAGGATCAGAGCCTGGAATCAGAATGTTGTAGCAATGAACAATTAATTAACTATCAAAAAAATTGTTGTCAATTGATTGTTTTTTGGCTCAACTAACAGATTAATTGACTGATTGCTGTGAAATGTTCAATCAGTCTTGCTAGGAATTGAGGGAATACATCAGGATTACTGACAGGATGCTGCTGGACACTGAGTCAGTATAGCATGAACCGTGGCTACGAGATGCGCTGGTACAGATGTATCCATACTCGTCAATGTCAAAATGTCGCTCACACTCTTTTGCTGGTCGCGTAAACGTATCATCATTCGATACCCTTCTCTTTTTGTGGTTTGTGGATGAGAGGGTGAGGAGAAGGAAGGGGTTAAAAAAAAGACAGCAGAGGGTGACAAAGGGTAAAGGGATAATGGGGGGATTTAAGGGGGAGGGAAAAAGGAGATTTGAAAGAGAAAGGAGAAGCTTGTATTGTGCGTATGTGGCTGAGTGTGTTGGGTCTCAGGCCCGTGTCTCTCACCACGTCCTGACCGGGCTCCCAGGGGTGCCCGGGGTTCTGCACCTCCTGCTCTCAGATCATGTGACTAGGTCAACAAATGATAATATCGCCGGGTAAATAAACTCTGGGTGCCGACAGATATGAGATGGGACATCACTTTGACCTGCGTGGCAGCCGTCGCACACACACACACACACTATTCTCCCCATGCATTTTTTCAAAGTTTAAAGGGTTAAGTGTGTGTATGTGCTTGCATGTGTGTGTGTCTACACTTATAATCGTGTATGTATTTGTGGGGAAAATGAGTGTGAGAAGAGTGCACTCATGCATATGTGAGTGTTCCTGCATGTTCTTTGTGTGATTCATGGCGTTTTGAGCTTTCTGAGAGTTTATTGCCATTAGACCCAAACAGCAGAAGGGCAGATGTAACTCTAGACAGCTGGCACAGCATGCTCCCTCTTTCTCTCTCCCTCTGCTGACCCAGTGAGTGACAGCTCTGAGAGAAAGGAGGAAATGAGCTGAGGGCTAAAAAAGTGAGGCCCATTAAAATCAGATTGGACGTAACTATTGGTGTGGGAACACTGTTTTCACTGCAGTACCTCTGGCAGACGCGGTTTTCTGGATACGGAGTTTGCCAGATACACGTCTGCTTGAATGGCAGTATCAGTAGTCTTTTTTTTATGTATGTGTATATATATATATATAGCTATATTTGAGAGAGATTGTATTTGTAGCTCAGAACACTTTTTCCCGGAGTCTTGTGTTCTTTACACTTAGACACTTAGTGGGCGTGGCCTTTGGACGGCTCCTCCATCTGTCAATCAGCTCTTTACGTTGATGGTCTGTTGACAGCTGGGAGATCCCCAGGGCTGTGAAACGAACTGCTACTGGAAAATACACACACAGACACACACTGCTGTGTAAGAAAACATTGCCCGCCAGCCGGATATTAAAGAAACTGTCACTCTCCTCCTCACCTCTCTCACCCGCTCTCCTTCTCTGCCTCCATTTTTCATCTTTTTGCTAAAGTGTTCCTGCTTTTCCCACTGACTCCCTGTCCTCTGCCTTCCTTTTTGTGCCACGTTCTTCTTCCCTCTCAAGTGGTAGAGCATGTATTGTGGACATACATTGCAAGTGTTGCTAGAGTTTTGACCTCTTCAGCAATGTATCGGCTAAAAAGAACATGTCTTTTGGCATTTCGGTGCTGCGATTGTGCCAATGTTTGCTTGTGCATTTGAGCATGCGATCTCTTTCCGTTGAATGTCGGAGTGCCTACAGGGAGACAGGAGCAGACAGAGCTGAGAGACGGAAGGAGAGCCGTGGAGGGTTCACAGTGATTAATCGTTCCTGTCTCTGTGTTTTGAGGCATGGGGAAAAACAAAACTCCGAAGCTGCCAAACATTATCTGCTACTTTATTTAATTATTTCTCTTGCAGTAGGTCTGTCACAGCACGGTGTGTGTTGAGTGAGTTTGTGTGATGAGTCACACTGGTGTCTTTGCTCATATAATGGATTTAAACAGGCTCATGCTAATTATCAGCATAGTCAACAATTTATAGAAAACATGTACTAGCTGTTGTCACGTCAGGCTTCTTATTCTAGCGCTGCACCGTTTATACTGAGTGAGGATGTTTGTGTTTCGGTGGTGATTTAACCTTTATTACTATTATTGGCACCGTCTAATATCAAGGTTGTCACAAAGGATGCACCCATAACTGATAACTGATATCTAACTCAAAGGGCTGGATCAGGTATCTGTGACAATGAGGCCGAGCTATTCAGTTCAATTCTATGTTTATATACTTTCTACATTATTTACTGGAATTTTAGTTCCTGACACAGTTTTGACCAATTTCTTGCTGCATTAAAAAGGTTTACACTCGAATTTTGAAGATTTTTAAGTTGCTAGTGTACAATTTACTATATTAATAATAAATAATACAGTGAGGAATACAGCCACTAGTATGTGATTGGTACTCAGTATGAGGCGATGCCGATAGCCCAGGTATTGCTCTCGTTATCAGGACTGTAAAAGTCGGTGCATCCCTCGTTGTCTCGTTCTTTATCTGGAAGAGAATTAAACCAGTGGTTGATGGGTAAAACACAGAAACATCAGAAAACTGTAAAATACGATCAGTCAGATTTATAAGCTGGGGAAAGGAAGTCAAAATGTGTTTCTGGGTGTATAAAATGATGACCTCAAATCAGCTGATCTCATCTGCTGGGAAACTTAGTCCCTGTGCCTTCTTCTCCTGTTTAAATTTTCTCATGCTCTGTTTTGCATCCCTCAGGTTTTGTGTGTGTGTGTGTGTGTGTGTGCGTGTGTGTGTGTGTGCGTGACTGTTTTGCAGGAAGTAGAGAAATAGCCATTAGGCATTCATGAAAGGTGTTGGAAAACCATGAATCCATATCCTTGCTGTCATATCACTTTCAGCTGCTGATTTACGACTGGTATTTAACTATGCACGTATTCGCAGACACGACTCTTAGCCAAGCCCTCGTGATGGGAATAGTATGCAGTATGTTCAAGACGGAGTTCTCAGAAGCCTCATAGGAGCTGTCAGTCAAGATGTGCATGAGCTTCATATAACCTCAGGCACCTTGTTAGTTTCTACATAGTCCCTTAATTATCCTGTTGTGATAGACGTGAAGTGGCAGATTCACAGCATTGTCATACACAAGCACAAGGGAGAGAATGTACTCCAAATTCTCTTTACTAATACTCATAATATGTCAACTTTTTGGTCCCTTAATCCAAAAAAAAAAAAAAGACAACTTTTTACGATGTTTGAAGCATAGATGCAATCAGAAGATTGCCCCCCCCCACATGTCAAAATAATGGAAATATGAATACAAGCCTAATTTACAAGACGGGAGAAGACGTTTCTCATGTCCCAGCCTGAATGCGGTGAATGGAGGCCTAATGCCATTTGATCCCACAGTCATACAATCATCTTACGGTTATCCTTCCATCACTTGCTGCCCTCAGGCTCTTGGGACATGCAGCCATTCTGGCTCCAGCATGTTTCCAGTTGCCAAGCTTTTTGTGGCATCGTAAACGGTGTTTCTAGTCTGCTGACGGTCCGAAAGACCTCCGCCATCATTGTCAGTTAACACCATAGCTCTCAGCAGTTGCCTCACCTTCCTTATTTCCTCTCTCTATATTTATGATTTGTGGATTTAGATTATGCCTCGTGTTGCAACACATTTGTGTTTCTGTATCCGACAATAATGACATTATATGCTTCTCAGTTTCTCAACGAAATAGCTCACAGAGGAGATTGTTTTGGTTTTCTGTCCTGCTCTGTACTTTCTCACTATCTCTCCCTGATTGACGTGTGGTAACTCAGCAGCATTTAAGCACTCGAGGTGCAGACAGAAGCACTTTGTTCCTGCGTGTTGGTTGGTTGGCTTCAGCTGGTTTCCGGCCAATCCAAACATGACCTTCACACGTAGTGCAGGGATACTGTCTATTGGCTCTGGATGATTTTGGGGGTTTCGGGTGTTGGGACCAAGGATTTGGGGGAATGGAGGTGGTTTTTAAAATGGATAGTAGCGTATCCATGGGATGGATGGAATAAGAGTTGGTGAAAGTCTGCCCATAAGGTTGCAAGATGTGCGTGTGTCCGTGAGTAAAGATTGTGGATACAAACGAGTTTGAAGTCGACTGGTATTGTCTCATTGTGACCTTCTCTTGTAAAAAACTTGTCTTGCTAATTTCTCTCAATCTATCTCTCCATCACTGTGCCCCCACTCACCAAACCTCAGTCCTGATCTAGATACTAAGAATACAGTTTATAGTGAAATAGTCAGATACAACCACAGAGATAGAAAAGGCAGTAGTAGAAAAGTAACGTAGAGTGTTGAGAAGGTGGAGTTCAGTGTGATCTGAAAAGATAAACGCTCAACACTAGGACTGCACAGTCGTGGCTAAGATGATGCTAAAGTATGATTCCTGATGCCTTGTTTACCTCTAAGGGAGATTAATGAGAGATACACCGATTGAGCGGGAGATAGAAAGATACACTGGACGACATGCTCCATTAGTGCCACTGTAAACTGAGTAGAGCACCATGAGGGCCTCTGCTGTCAGGACACACACACTTGTGTGTGTGTGTGTGTGTGTGTGTGTGTGTGTGTGTGTGTGTGTGTGTGTGTGTGTGTGTGTGTGTGTGTAATAGAGCAGAACTCGCTCATTTTCTGTAATAGCTGCTCTCTTCCATTCAAACTCCGGCACATTAAATCACTGCTGCTGGTGCCAGAGACACTCTCTAAATCTATGCCTGTGCGTTTGCCTGATTGTCCTGGTTTACTTTTTAATGGTCATCTGAGTATTTCTGTTTAAACACTGGTCTTTATAAATACTTGTCTTTCTTTCTTCCTTGTTTGAATGTGTTTGCCCTGGCTTTTTATATTTGTTTTTATCATATGTTTGCATGCTAGAGAACACGTTTTGATCTGTAGGATGAGTCTGTGACTAATTTGTGCCTTATTTTTTAGACCATACAGCTATTGGTACTGAGCCATGTCACAGTATACACATACAGAAATAATAGCATTGTACTGTTCTTGACCAGGCCAGCCAATAGCACTTTTAACATCTAGCCTTGGCCTCAGTGGTTGGCTGAGGATACATTTTAGTCAGATTTCTTGAAATATGAAAGGCCAGTTTCTTTCCCCACACATGCCAATGTGAATTTATGATACATAGCTGAAGTTTATAGTGCATTACTGTACATTTTGGTTTTGCAAAATGAACATTTAATTGGGATGAAATGAATACTAATTAAAGTTCCATCTCTAGTTGAGCACAGTCCTGTAGCTCTATGCACCTCTGTGTTAGCAGTCGGTATGTGTTTTGCTGCTCCCACCTCTATAAGGTTTCAATAGGAATGTGAGAACACGTTCATTGGGGTTTCATTGCAGGTTAAAACTCACACTGCCCTGCACACATCCACCTTTCTCATGTGAAGACATTCTTCTCAGGTGTGTCGTTACAGGTGATTTCCTCTTTCTATATCGTCTCACCGGACGGAATTCATAAAACCTTCAGTGGGAACTTTCTTATTGTTTGGAAAGTTATTTATATAGTCTCCAAAATGCCTCTGGCTGTATTGTCTCAGCATTCTCACTGAGAATCAGACTGCAGGTCACACGAGGAGTCACCACCAGGGGTGCTGTGCTGTCTCTACAGCTCTACCTCAACTCTTCTCCTCTGCTGTTCACACATTTACCGTCCTGCTCATTGTAGGGCGAGTTTAAACAGCTTTGTTGCTGGTATTACAGGACACTACCGGACACATAAAATAGAACCTCAGCTCATCAAATCCAACAATTCAGATTAAATAAATACAGTAATTTATTAGTGAGATGTTATTTCTGAAGGAAACAGCATTCAGTTGTAATGAATTGTAAACAGTACTGGGAAAATCAAGTGACACAATCTTAAAATATAAAAAAAACTCTTGTTTAAAATTAGAAGCTGCAGCGAAGTGAATGGAAGAAGTTCTTGGCAATATATCACAAAAAATATATTTGCTAAAACTCTGCTTTCTAGTAAAGGATTGCATTTGTTAAGTTAGGTTCATATTGAACCTGTGCAGTGATTTCGGGTTAAACCTTGTTTAAACTAGTCAATGTCTCTAAAAGGTCAAGCAAAACCTATGAGTCTCTCCCCCCCCCTCTGTCCTCATGTGTCCTGCTCTTGCTGACAGAGAAGGGTGCGTTTGCTAACTGCTGCTGTTAACTGTTTACAAGCCAGTGTTTGCTCAGAGCTTGATCATGTTACAGGACAACAACCCATGCTAGTCCCATTCACGGCCGTCCACACACAGCACACACAAACAGTTGCACATACCCAGACGTAGCCCAACAGTAGTCTAGTTTAGACTGTCGGCCAATCCTCGAGCAGTTGCTGAGGCATCAGTCTGCAGCTGAACTGAATCACTGCTCAGGGCTTCTCTTCGTCTGGGGACGACCGCTAGGCCTCATAGAATTTCCTAAATCTTATTTTGGTGTTTTGTTTTACGGTATTTTTTTTTTTTCACCTCAATCTGCTCCGCTCCACTCTCCTCTCCTCTCATTTTCTTCATTTAATTCTTGGCCATCTTCCCTGCTCCTTATTAGGGGAAAAAGAATCCATCCCTTTTGGAAAACATGTGCTGATTAATGAATGGGTGATTGGCTGGTGGTTGAGAAATGTGGAGAGTTCATTTGAAGGATGCTACAGTTACGAGAACTCTGTGTTAGTAAGAGAGAGCGAGAGAGAGAGAGAGATTGTTGACAAGCCAAACTAAACATTCCCCCTCTCCTTTCACATCTGTGCTCCCTATCTCCCTCTTACTCTCTCTCTCACTGTTCTACTTGTCAATCAAACCTCTTTCGCTCAGTTTGACAGCATTTTATTGCTAACACTCTGCTTTTGTTTCTCTTTGAGGATGACATTTTGATAATCCTCTTGGGGAAATTGTGCCTGCACTGGACCAAATAATAGTATGAAGCTAAAATGGAATATAATAGTGAGTAAATATACAATTGGGGGTTTACGTAAACAGAACATGGATATGTAAAGTCCATCAGAAGTCCGCAATACAACATATCCAGATATATTTGGAGGAAAAAATATATATATTTTTTACTTATTATGAAAATATTATGAAAGTCCTAAACCAGTAAAATAACTTGCACTTGCTCATATTTTGTGTGTGTGTGTGTGTGTGTGTGTGTGTGTGTGTGTGTGTGTTTTTGCTAAATGTGTGTTTCTAGCATGATGTGTCTACGGGAGCTCTGAAGGCGGCATTGGATGGTGTGGTGCAGGAATGTGTGAGCTTCGTCGGGGTGGACATCAACATCTGCTCCGAGACGCTGATGAGGTAGACGACACATGAAGATACATGTGCCCACAAGCATGTGCACTCTCTACTGCGCACACACACACACACACACAGACACACACATGCAAATTGTGAAACCGAGTTGAAGTAGGGCTTAGACCTCTGACATACTTTCCCTTAGCAGTCACAACATGGCAAAGCTTCATCCACACTCATGCGCATGCTCGATGCTTACACACACACACACACACACACACACACACCCTGCATGCCAGCTTTCTGTTTAGACTAAAGCTTCCCACCCAGGCCTCACTTATTGGGACAACTGGAATCAGCAGAGGGGATTAGGCGAGGTAGACATACGCACATACACACACATGGCTCTCAAACGCGTGTATGTACATGTATGCACAATCGCAAATATCTTTGGTATTATACTGTGCACTCATTCACTACAGCATGTGCAATACACAAACCTGCTTTAAAAGCACAAGAAGTGCACAAATGTGATGCGCACACACACTTGAAGTGTGGTATGAAGCGAGCTGGCTTTAGCTGCAGGGCAGGCATCAGGTCATCTGTTTACCTGTCTGCTCTGCAAGTGAGCTTTTTCCATTCCTGCCAGGAGTTGTGCGACACACATTACACACACACGCACACTCACACCAACGTGTTGATGACTGAGGTATTATGTGGAGTGTTGACATTGCCGTGTGTTTTAGTGTGAGTGAGTCACTGGAGGCATTAACAGAGCAGACCTAATTCAGTTTCAAATCGCCTCCCTGCGTTGCTCAGCCATAACTGGACAAATATACTCACTAAACTAGTGTTTCCCCTGCTTGTTTAAATGCCAGGTCACAGTCTGCACAATCCGCTCTGCTTGTTTATATATTATAGAAATAAGGGGCCAGATGTAGAACCAATGTGTTTATTACCAGGACACCATAGACGGGTGTACTGGTAAGACATCACACTTTGAAACTTTGTCATCCAATAGAGTCCTCAGAAATAGACACACAGACCTCAACAAACGTATTTGAAATTTGATTACGTTGTATGACATTTTCCCTTTTTATTTATTGTTTTAATCTCCTAGGCATGTAGCAGGCCTGAATGTTGGCAGAGCGCGAAATATTGCAGAGTGGAGGGAGCAGAACGGTCCCTTCAACAACAGGGAGCAACTCAAACTGGTCAAAGGCATGGGGCCCAAGACCTACCAGCAGTGTGCCGGCTTCATTAGAATCAACCCGCAGACCCTACACAGGTGTGCAAACTGTATGTACATCTATACATATGTTAAAGGAACTTTCAAGAGTGTGAGTGTGAGCAAACAGAATGAATTAGCCTCCAGTATATTGGAGAGGAAGCAGGAATCTCAGAGTCAAAAATAATAAAACGTAAACCGCCCTCATGGCAGGATACCACTATAGGTAAGTGAATGAGATGTTTTTTTTGTAATTTGGTGAATCAACCCTTTGATGCAAAGTTGTGTGTGACTCTGACTTCCTGATAAAATTATAACACCTTTCATTCTTGTCCAAACAGCGCCAAGTCTTCACCTCCCCCTGTACCAGAGAAACCGGCGGCTAAGAAGGGCAAAGGAAAGACTACCAACATTCCGACCTTATTTAACCCCCTGGACCAGACCTGCATACACCCAGAGTCCTACCATGTGGCACAGAGGTACAGCACACACACACACTAACGCACACACAGCCTACCCCCACTGGCCAAAGCATGTTCGGGCTAAGATGGAGCTGATTTTGACACCGTCTCATATGGGGCTGGTTATAGTGGTGGAGGATTCTGATTTGATTTACACAGACACTGGATACCAGAGAGGAGGCGTTGGCTCTTGTGTATGTCAGTGTGACTTTGTGTGTGTCCTCGTGTGAGAAATGATTGCTAGTGCTGTTGATGCTGATATCAAAAGCACATTGCACATCTGCCCAATACTAGTATTGTCCTGTGTGTGAGAGAGAGGGAGAGGGAGTGAGAGCCCGCTCTCTTACAGCTGTAGTCACTCAACTGTGTTTAGTCTACATACGTTCTGACACTAGTGGCTTTAAGCAACGCTCCCCTCATGTTGATGCACCTTTAATGGCCTCCGCGCATGTGTGTGTGAGTGGATGCGTCTCTGTGTCCAACATGTGTGAAGATGGAGTGATGCTGCTTGTGTGACTGTTTTTGCTTATCTTAAGTGTGTGTGTGTGTGTGTGTTCAACAGTCGGCCGTATCGTACAGTGTATCAAAGAGTTGTTTAGGGGTCGGTGGTTTAAAAAGACAAATAACCGCCCATTGCTATTATAATACACCCTCTATTCCCTTTCTCTTTTTCTTCGTCCTCTTAGTCTCACACATTCTCACACCTTCTCTTCTCCCACAAATCCACACAGCTCATTTTTGTTAACATTTCTGTTTCATTCCTGCATTTTTGGCAGACACCTTTCTCTCTCTTTCTCATCCATCCATCTCTCTCTCTCTCTCTCTCTCTCTCTCTCTCTCTCTCTCTCTCTCT